TCAATGACTCAAGTGTTTTATCTTACACAATAAGGGTCTAGTCAGTTTTATGATGAAATTCGTCTGGATACGCTGTTCTCAAGTCCTGCATTATCACTGCCATCAGCTTACACAGTGGGATAGCTGGCTGCTGTGGCGATTCCACAGTGATTGTTCTGGTCTTTGGCTATTTTAACGTAGCCATTCCAGCCCCATTCTGGCCCCCAGCTGGAAGAAGAGCATGTTTTCTGTTTTAAACAAAGACTCAAGTAACATTAGCTTCATTAATAATAACAACTTATACTTAAAACAGGGTTTACCATGTATCAGGCACTATTCTATTACATATATTTATGTTAAACGTTAAGACGGTCCTTAACCTAAAATCTTAATTGACATAATCTTAAATCCTGTGAGTGCTTACCTTAACTTTTTAAGATAGGAAAGAGAGCAGAACTGGGATTCTAATGCAGCAGTCTGTCTACAGGCTTACAACCTCATCTCAAGCAAATAACTTTAGCTTGAGAATTGATCCCGACAACCCTCAAGGCCTCTAAGAGCTGAGAAGCAGAATGCAAAACCAGGGCACCATGTGGTAACATGAAGGATGCATAGGCCATGGGCTCTTGGACAATCTTTCAGACTTAAAGAATCAGTGGAGGCAGATGCTTCTGTGAACTATATGACTTGTTGAAAAATCCAAGACAGAGAAAGGAAACCAGCCCTTAACACCACAGGTGCAAAATCCTTTATCTGAAATCCCTGGGACCAGATGTGTTTCTGAATTAAGAAAATTTTCAGAATTTGGAAATGCAATGTTACAAATACTTAATAACCCCAACAAGCCTGCTACAGAATCATATAATCAAACATCAGTACTTCTGTGCTCACTCTAAGTGGGAGAAAGATTTCTGGGACTTCAAAAGTGAGCTGTTTGACTTGAAACCAAATACTGATTCCAAATGAAAACCCCTTTTTCAATTTAAAATATAACATTTGTAGTTTTATACCTGTTCTTGACAAGCCAGAATTTGTTATTTGAATCTGCTTCTTCAAAGCCATAGCCAACCAGCAGGACGCCGTGATCCAGGTCTTTGCTGCTACACTGCGGATCATAATAAATGCCTGGCAGAGTAAAATTCCAAGTTGGGGTGAGAAACTCCAACTGACATGTGACAGTAACCTGCCCTGACAACCACAGTTAGGAGAAGCATCTCAAAATTCAGTGCAATATCATAAGTTCCAAATCAGATGTAAATATTTGCCAAAATATATGATAAAAAGAAAAAAGTCAAACAACTCACAAGAAATTAACTAAATCCAAGATATTTTCTACTTAAAAGATTTCTAGTAGTAAGATCTATTTGTCAAGAATTACTCATATTTACTGGTATTAATTAGCATAATCCTTTCTACTCTTAGAATGCCAACTGAGGAAACAAGACAAAACAAAAAAATACTTAGACTAATTCCAATAAAAATTTTTTGGAAAAAAGGCCCAACAATTGGAAAATAGGCACATAAATTAGGTTCTAGGATTACATAGCCACTTAGAAATATTCATGAAGAGTTTGTTATGAGAAAATGCTTAAAGTATAATGTTAAATGGAAACTCACTGTATTAAATGCACACACTCAAAATTCTACAATCCTGGGAAGCAGGACCTCACACTGGAAACTCAGTCATGGTGGTGGTTTCCAGTTCTGACTGCCTGAATTTCTACAGTAAGGAGACAAACATGTCTACCTGCTTTATAGAACTGGAACGACTCATGGCCGGCATCGATGGCAACAGAGATGGGCCCCACTGCTGCCACGGCCTTCATGAGGGCCTTCTCCCGCTGAGGGATGTCCACAAAGCCAGTGTCATTGGCGGCGGCAAACTCGGGCTTGTAGTTACAGGCATCTGTGTCCTTTTAAAGGCAAATGGGAAAGAAACTTGATGGCCACCATCCACTTCCTGGGGAACAAGAATTCCAAGTCCACAAAACAGCAGTTTGCAGCTTAATGATTTCCAAGAACTTCATTAAAAAGCAGCCCAGAAAGCAAAATACTTTTGGTTGGTTTGAAATGGAAAAATTAGCAGATGTTTCTTCAATGAGACCCCTTGGGGATGTCCATAAGACACTTTTCACCACGGAGAAATCTGCATTATATGCAGAATGTTGATATATTCTCCATGTTCCACAGAAGTAAGAACAACTATACTGCTAACTTTGCAAAAGCTGGTAATTCACAATGACAGTTCTGGCAGTTAGCAAAGAATGTGAATGCTGAATAAGGTGCCTGTTATCTCTGAAAATTAACTTTGAAAGCAGAGCTGGAATAACAAGATAAGGAGCCTCATTTACCCTTGCTAGGTATGGATAGGATTTCTCTGAGTCCAGGCCTCCATTATCCTTAACGTACTGGAAGGCATTGTCCATTAGGCCACCGTTGCAGCCCTCATTGCCTTGAGACCGAGAACAGTCCACCAGATTCTGCTCACTCAGTGGAACAAGCTTACCAGTTTTGTGAAACATCTGTCCCTCCAGGGCACCAGTTGCACTGAAAGCCCAGCAAGAACCACACTGACCCTGAAATAAAAAAAGTTACCTGTTTCCGAGACAAATACAAAGACTGACAACCCATATACCTGAATACTCTTAAACAAAACATAAATAAATTAGCAAACTGCATGTCATTCCACAGTCTACTAAAGCATGGATGCCAATTCCCATCTGGCTTTCCTAATTGAGATAGAAGATCTGAACACGAATGCTATCCTACCTGATTCTTCACCGGCGTTACATAGCCTCTCTCTCTCCAATCCACAGATTTGGGTACTTCAAGAAAGGGAAGTTCATGGAACACTTTCCCCTTTTTGTGTCTCAAGTTTTTAAAGCCATTCATTACTTGCCTGAATTCTTCATTGGTCTTTAAAAATAAAATGTTGAAAAAGCAAGGTTATTTCGTTAAAGTACTGAGGAGAAGAAGCACCTATCGTACAGCCGCCCATGCCACACTCACCATGTCTCCAAAGGCATTCATTGCCATTGTGAAGCCGTGTTTCCCTAAGCTGTATTCCCGATTGTGCAGTTCAATCATTTTCAGGTTCTTCTCCCACACTGCTCTCCTCCATCCTTCTTCATTCTATAGGCAAATACACAACAAATTAGCTTTATTTCTACTTAAAACTCAACCCATCATCACCAAGTGGATTTTCAGGCACAATGAAAGAGAAACCATGGCCAGGATGGCCTCATACTTCTGGAAACTGATCTCCAGTGTCTACACAATGGGATGTACCCCACATTCTCCTCAGCAATGTGTGCCATGGTCACTACCTTGGTGAGAGGCCCTCAGGAAGCTCCTCTCTGCTATAAACTCCCAACAGAACTGACCACTCTCGGCAGGGTCCCTCTGCACAGTTTCAGATGTTACCAACCTTGCCATAGAGTTTCTTGTGTGTTGCTCTCCACTGGGACCACTGTGCATCTAAGCTTTGATCAAGTTGTGGAACAGCCGAGGCGATTCCCAAGCACAGGACAGTCAGGAGTGAAGGATGCATGTTTCAAAAACCTAAGGAAATGAAATGAGTATCTGATTAGACCAATCCTTCTAAGACACCCTACTTTCTCCTGAGATGCTAGAGTAAAAACATTTAAATTACCTTCCCAAATATTTAGGAAAGGGCTGTGGAAGGCAAGGATGTGGGTCGTGAAGAAACAGGCCAAGGACTTACCAAACAGCAGAGAGATCTGATTCAGACATCAAAATGAAAAACGAGGTGACAAGTGCTCTAGGAATTGACAGACTTCACTGTAATAGTGCAATGATAATTTAGGTTTTGATAAAGGTCGCAGGATAATTTATGGGTCAGAATCTTAGGAAACCAGGGCACTGTTGGTCCAGGTTATTTACTGTAGGTACTGAAACGACCCAGCAAGTTATTTATCAGGACACCTGGTNAGTGGAAAACATTTTTCAAGTACTGAAAGAAAAGTTCTTCAAACCAGAATTCTATATCGAGTGAAAATATTTTTCAGGAATGAATGGGAAATCATGACATTATCAGGCAAAGGAAAACTAAGAGAATTTTATGCTAGTAAACTGAGTCTTAAAGAATAGTAAAAGGAAATTCTCTGACAGAAAGGCTGGGAACTTCAGAAAGGAACATCAGAATTGGTAAAAATAGGGTAAATACCAAAGACTATCCAACTTTGGGAAACTTTCATAAGTTTATTAAATCATATTTGATTGTTGAAGCAAAGGTTTTAAGACAATCTCATATGGTGTTCAAATCTAAGGAGGAAATATGACAATTATATTTTAAAAGTGGTAGGGTAAAGAGGGACCTAAATGGAAGTAAGGTTTCTATAATTCATTGGAAAAGATTAAACATCGAAATAAGTAGACTGTGAGAAGTTACATATATATATTGGAATATGTAGAGTAATCATTAAGAAAACTATACAAAACTATATACTCAAAATACCCTAAGTAAATCAAGGTAGAATTCTTATAAATGTTCAAATAACCATAGGGAGGTAAGAAAAGAGAAATATGAAGAACAACTTGGGAAACAGAGCAAATAAAATGGCAGGCTTCAGCCCTAACAATCAGAATTACCTTAAATGTAAATAGTCTAAATACACTAATTACAAGACAGAGACTGACAGAGTGGCTTAAAAACAAACATGATCCAAAAATACCCCATTTACAAGAAACTCACTTCAACTACAATGACATAGGTAAGCTGGAAGTGAAAGGATGAAAAAGATGTATTATGTAAACATTTAAATAAAAGCAAGGAGGGGCTTTCCTAATGTCAGATAAAGTTGACTTCAGAGCAGATAATTACTAGAGACAAAGATGAAGATTACATAACAATACAAGTATCAACTCCCCAGGAAGACATAATGATCCTAAATGTGTACACACAGTACCTCAAAATGCATGAAGCAAGACCTGCCAGAGCCCAAAGAAGAAACAGACAAGTCCACACCCACTCAGCAATTGATGGAACTCATAGACACAAGTTTTTTAAAAACTGTTTTAATTTTCTTTCCAAGAGAGATAGACTGAATAATATGAAAACAAATAACAGTAAGTTTGATTGTCAGAAATACTGCCTGTGCACGCCTTCCTCTGGTAAAAACAACTTAAAATATGCGTGTGCATGTGTGTTCAGGGCTGAAAGGTGGGGATGATTAGAGCAGGTGAAGAAGGGTTAATGGGGATAGAGGAGGTAAATGCACCCAGGCGACAACCCCCGTGATGGTTACTGTTACACACCAACCACTTTGCTGGGCTGCAGAGCTCAGTGATTTGGTTAGACCCCAGTCCAGATGCTGCAGTGAAGGTATTTTATAGATGGGATTAGCATCTATGACCAGTGGACTTTGAGTAAAGCAGAGTACCCTCCTCAATGTGGGGGGGCCTCATCCAATTTGTTGAAGCCCTTAAGAGCAAAAACTGAGATTTCCTGATGACAGAATTCTGCTCTAAGATTGTAATACAGAAATACTAGTCTAGTCTGCTAGCTCGCTCTACAATTTTAGTCTTGCCAGCCTCCATAATTATACGAGCCAATTTCCTATAATGCAGATTTTGTTACTGACAGTGGTTCTCGAGGAAAAGAATCTTTAGAGTAAGTTTGATTTCTGGAATTGATTCTATTAAAATTTAAAGGCACCAAGGGCTCTATTTCCAGTGGTAAAGCAGCGCTGATAGCCCATGGCATGAGGTGGCAATGGAGACATGCTTGTATTACCAATGGATGCTCCTTATCAGACACTTCTGAGGGGCAAAGTTCTGAGTGACCATGTATTTGATACATTAGAGCATTTTGGCCAAACTAATGAGATTGGCTGTTTGCTTATAACTGCACTGGACAAAATGAGGAAAGGAAAAGATGAGCTCAGATGTTGGAACTCCTACTCAAGTGCCACAAAAGGGACCCTAAAGTTTTATCTGCCCTTTAAGAAATTCTTTTCACTTGTAGCCACAGAGCTAAGATTTCTGAAAACCAAACTCAATGTCTCACACAAATGGATGAATTACAATGCAAACCGAATTCCCAATCTCACAGGCTTTACGTAAAAGTGAGGGATTGAAGAAGGTCTGAACTTCAGAATGGGGGCTCACAGACACATCCTGATGAATCTGGGGATGTTGACACCCTAAGTCCGTCGAGTCTTGTCTGGAGGGGCAGGCCGTCCACTTGAGGTTAACTCTCTTTGCGTGAGCAATGCAGACAAATGGCTCCCCTGAGGTAGTTTCCTCGCAAGACACTCCTTCTCAGGATGCGCCCCTACCAACCCTCTCTGCTTCTGCATCTGATCTACACTCTGCCACAGCGGGCTCTAAGAGGTGAGGTACCAAGAGTGGCTCCTAAGGCAGTGCACTACATTTCACGAGATGGGCATGACTCTTCCAAGACATACAGACCCAAATTTGGGGAATATGAATAGGAAAGGATATTAAGGGTGCAGAGCTAAGTAGAAGGGACATAAAGTTAGATCAGACTGAATTTATTGAAATGGGCCAATTAAACAGAGATTCAGAATTCAATATTGTAGCTCAAGGTTAGAAGGGTAGCTCTAGTCCTTTGATTGGCAGGCTGGAATACAGACCAAAGGTGGCCAACTGTAAATGAAGCTGAGATGGGGTCTATACTCAGCCCTCTCCTTCCCCTAGTAGATGCCCAAGTGTTGTGGCTATGCACTCACATAAGCCAATTCCTCCCTCATATTTGCCAAATTATTTCCTTTTTCCTTAATTCCTTTGCAATAAAACTAGAATAAAGAATTATTTAGATAAAAAAAAGAATTATTTAAATGTCTGGACTATAAGCATTCCTGGTGCTAAGTTTGTACTTCATATTAGATTTTTGTTGTGATCAAATTTGTTTCCAGCTCAATGTATTTGAAGTCTATTGGCTCCTTTGAAAATGCTTCTAGGTGGCAGATGTTAGAGATTTCCACAAGTTTAAAATATAAAGGTCTTTGAAAATTACAAAAGCATCAAATATCATGGTTTGGACATCTGAGGAATTTTCTGCTTTACCTAAGCTTTCTTATTTAAATAAAAAGCTACCAAACTTTGATTCAGTTCAGTTCCCAGATATTTAAGAGTCTTGAGTTGTTCCAGGGTCCTGTGGCCAGCACGGAGGCAGCCTGCTGCTGCAGAGCAAGATGAAGGCATCATCCCCAAGGAAAACTCAGACTGTACATGGTATACGGTGTTTTACAAAAGGCTGTGGGTAATGGCTACTGAAGGTTTGTGGGACAGAAGGCTCCGGCTGTCCACCATCTCATTCCCTTCACAAGGATTATAGCTACATTAAACATTTCACCAGTTTATTCTTTATACTTTGGAAACATGAGATTTTTAAACACATGCACACATGATTTTTTAGCCTGCAGAATGTAGGTGTGTTTTTACATTTTAACAGGTTAAAGAAAATAATCATCTATAAATCACCCAGCAGCTTGGCATTTTTTCCTTCCTGTCTAAATATGCAAATGCATGATTTGTATTTACTACCTGTGCAACCATATGCTTATTAGGCTGTTCTGTTCCCATCAAGTTAATTTTTGGCTCAGAGATTAGGTAAACCCAAATTTGGCCTGAAGATCTGTCACCCATTTTCAAGGCCAGAGGACTATTTTTGAAGCCAACCCTCATCTCTGGTAGACCTTGAACACATTTCTCCAGTTTCTACCAAGCACCTGAGATTTATTAATCACAGCCATTAAATTTACATTTGTTAACACCAGGTAATAAAGGAGGCTTTTTCTGAAAGTTATGTGGAATGCCGTCAGAGACTTGGCAGAACAAAGACTAATGCCTGCAGTCCACTGGGGCCTTGTCCTTTCCAGCTGCCAAGTAGTCACGTGATCCACACAGTGATTTCAGCAGCTGCTTTGGTAACGGGCTCTGAGGCTTTCTGCACATAACATGACTAAGTTAGAAACATCCTGAGTCAAAGGAAGAGGCCCTCCTTTTCTAGTTATCTAAAATCTAACAATCTGTATGTGTAATCACTTTTCTAAGGGTGAATTTGTTTTTATTAAGACAATTCACCTTTGCCCTTCCAGACTGGGTGTCACATTTGGCTGGCTTCAAGGATTGGGTCAACACGGTCAACAGGTAGCTGACATTATAACTGGAAGATCAAGAGGGCCACCCAGCGTCCTTTTCCTAATCCACCATTGGCACATTCAGTTACATCTTTATAGCCTAACTGTATTTCCCAACTACACAAAACATTAATGCATTATAAATATAGAAAGAAGTTCCATCTCTACATACTGAATTAAAATTTATTTTAAAAGGTAGTTTTTTTATATATCCTTTTAAAAAATGAAAATTCAAATATTTAGCATTAAGTAATGAGACTTGAATATTATAAAGCTATTTATATAACAGTAATTAAAGTAGTGGTAACATTTTACCCTTATAAAAATGTCAAAATGCAAATCACAGCTTGGATCCTCAATGACTCAAGTGTTTTATCTTACACAATAAGGGTCTAGTCAGTTTTATGATGAAATTCGTCTGGATACGCTGTTCTCAAGTCCTGCATTATCACTGCCATCAGCTTACACAGTGGGATAGCTGGCTGCTGTGGCGATTCCACAGTGATTGTTCTGGTCTTTGGCTATTTTAACGTAGCCATTCCAGCCCCATTCTGGCCCCCAGCTGGAAGAAGAGCATGTTTTCTGTTTTAAACAAAGACTCAAGTAACATTAGCTTCATTAATAATAACAACTTATACTTAAAACAGGGTTTACCATGTATCAGGCACTATTCTATTACATATATTTATGTTAAACGTTAAGACGGTCCTTAACCTAAAATCTTAATTGACATAATCTTAAATCCTGTGAGTGCTTACCTTAACTTTTTAAGATAGGAAAGAGAGCAGAACTGGGATTCTAATGCAGCAGTCTGTCTACAGGCTTACAACCTCATCTCAAGCAAATAACTTTAGCTTGAGAATTGATCCCGACAACCCTCAAGGCCTCTAAGAGCTGAGAAGCAGAATGCAAAACCAGGGCACCATGTGGTAACATGAAGGATGCATAGGCCATGGGCTCTTGGACAATCTTTCAGACTTAAAGAATCAGTGGAGGCAGATGCTTCTGTGAACTATATGACTTGTTGAAAAATCCAAGACAGAGAAAGGAAACCAGCCCTTAACACCACAGGTGCAAAATCCTTTATCTGAAATCCCTGGGACCAGATGTGTTTCTGAATTAAGAAAATTTTCAGAATTTGGAAATGCAATGTTACAAATACTTAATAACCCCAACAAGCCTGCTACAGAATCATATAATCAAACATCAGTACTTCTGTGCTCACTCTAAGTGGGAGAAAGATTTCTGGGACTTCAAAAGTGAGCTGTTTGACTTGAAACCAAATACTGATTCCAAATGAAAACCCCTTTTTCAATTTAAAATATAACATTTGTAGTTTTATACCTGTTCTTGACAAGCCAGAATTTGTTATTTGAATCTGCTTCTTCAAAGCCATAGCCAACCAGCAGGACGCCGTGATCCAGGTCTTTGCTGCTACACTGCGGATCATAATAAATGCCTGGCAGAGTAAAATTCCAAGTTGGGGTGAGAAACTCCAACTGACATGTGACAGTAACCTGCCCTGACAACCACAGTTAGGAGAAGCATCTCAAAATTCAGTGCAATATCATAAGTTCCAAATCAGATGTAAATATTTGCCAAAATATATGATAAAAAGAAAAAAGTCAAACAACTCACAAGAAATTAACTAAATCCAAGATATTTTCTACTTAAAAGATTTCTAGTAGTAAGATCTATTTGTCAAGAATTACTCATATTTACTGGTATTAATTAGCATAATCCTTTCTACTCTTAGAATGCCAACTGAGGAAACAAGACAAAACAAAAAAATACTTAGACTAATTCCAATAAAAATTTTTTGGAAAAAAGGCCCAACAATTGGAAAATAGGCACATAAATTAGGTTCTAGGATTACATAGCCACTTAGAAATATTCATGAAGAGTTTGTTATGAGAAAATGCTTAAAGTATAATGTTAAATGGAAACTCACTGTATTAAATGCACACACTCAAAATTCTACAATCCTGGGAAGCAGGACCTCACACTGGAAACTCAGTCATGGTGGTGGTTTCCAGTTCTGACTGCCTGAATTTCTACAGTAAGGAGACAAACATGTCTACCTGCTTTATAGAACTGGAACGACTCATGGCCGGCATCGATGGCAACAGAGATGGGCCCCACTGCTGCCACGGCCTTCATGAGGGCCTTCTCCCGCTGAGGGATGTCCACAAAGCCAGTGTCATTGGCGGCGGCAAACTCGGGCTTGTAGTTACAGGCATCTGTGTCCTTTTAAAGGCAAATGGGAAAGAAACTTGATGGCCACCATCCACTTCCTGGGGAACAAGAATTCCAAGTCCACAAAACAGCAGTTTGCAGCTTAATGATTTCCAAGAACTTCATTAAAAAGCAGCCCAGAAAGCAAAATACTTTTGGTTGGTTTGAAATGGAAAAATTAGCAGATGTTTCTTCAATGAGACCCCTTGGGGATGTCCATAAGACACTTTTCACCACGGAGAAATCTGCATTATATGCAGAATGTTGATATATTCTCCATGTTCCACAGAAGTAAGAACAACTATACTGCTAACTTTGCAAAAGCTGGTAATTCACAATGACAGTTCTGGCAGTTAGCAAAGAATGTGAATGCTGAATAAGGTGCCTGTTATCTCTGAAAATTAACTTTGAAAGCAGAGCTGGAATAACAAGATAAGGAGCCTCATTTACCCTTGCTAGGTATGGATAGGATTTCTCTGAGTCCAGGCCTCCATTATCCTTAACGTACTGGAAGGCATTGTCCATTAGGCCACCGTTGCAGCCCTCATTGCCTTGAGACCGAGAACAGTCCACCAGATTCTGCTCACTCAGTGGAACAAGCTTACCAGTTTTGTGAAACATCTGTCCCTCCAGGGCACCAGTTGCACTGAAAGCCCAGCAAGAACCACACTGACCCTGAAATAAAAAAAGTTACCTGTTTCCGAGACAAATACAAAGACTGACAACCCATATACCTGAATACTCTTAAACAAAACATAAATAAATTAGCAAACTGCATGTCATTCCACAGTCTACTAAAGCATGGATGCCAATTCCCATCTGGCTTTCCTAATTGAGATAGAAGATCTGAACACGAATGCTATCCTACCTGATTCTTCACCGGCGTTACATAGCCTCTCTCTCTCCAATCCACAGATTTGGGTACTTCAAGAAAGGGAAGTTCATGGAACACTTTCCCCTTTTTGTGTCTCAAGTTTTTAAAGCCATTCATTACTTGCCTGAATTCTTCATTGGTCTTTAAAAATAAAATGTTGAAAAAGCAAGGTTATTTCGTTAAAGTACTGAGGAGAAGAAGCACCTATCGTACAGCCGCCCATGCCACACTCACCATGTCTCCAAAGGCATTCATTGCCATTGTGAAGCCGTGTTTCCCTAAGCTGTATTCCCGATTGTGCAGTTCAATCATTTTCAGGTTCTTCTCCCACACTGCTCTCCTCCATCCTTCTTCATTCTATAGGCAAATACACAACAAATTAGCTTTATTTCTACTTAAAACTCAACCCATCATCACCAAGTGGATTTTCAGGCACAATGAAAGAGAAACCATGGCCAGGATGGCCTCATACTTCTGGAAACTGATCTCCAGTGTCTACACAATGGGATGTACCCCACATTCTCCTCAGCAATGTGTGCCATGGTCACTACCTTGGTGAGAGGCCCTCAGGAAGCTCCTCTCTGCTATAAACTCCCAACAGAACTGACCACTCTCGGCAGGGTCCCTCTGCACAGTTTCAGATGTTACCAACCTTGCCATAGAGTTTCTTGTGTGTTGCTCTCCACTGGGACCACTGTGCATCTAAGCTTTGATCAAGTTGTGGAACAGCCGAGGCGATTCCCAAGCACAGGACAGTCAGGAGTGAAGGATGCATGTTTCAAAAACCTAAGGAAATGAAATGAGTATCTGATTAGACCAATCCTTCTAAGACACCCTACTTTCTCCTGAGATGCTAGAGTAAAAACATTTAAATTACCTTCCCAAATATTTAGGAAAGGGCTGTGGAAGGCAAGGATGTGGGTCGTGAAGAAACAGGCCAAGGACTTACCAAACAGCAGAGAGATCTGATTCAGACATCAAAATGAAAAACGAGGTGACAAGTGCTCTAGGAATTGACAGACTTCACTGTAATAGTGCAATGATAATTTAGGTTTTGATAAAGGTCGCAGGATAATTTATGGGTCAGAATCTTAGGAAACCAGGGCACTGTTGGTCCAGGTTATTTACTGTAGGTACTGAAACGACCCAGCAAGTTATTTATCAGGACACCTGGTTCCCAGGAGGGCAGGGGTCTCCGGGAGTTGGGCAGTCAGTCACCTTCCACCTTTCTTCTCATTAAGGCAAAGCCGGGGGGAACCCACAGTTACCAACCCCTACATGCCTTTGGACCTACAGTTCTTGAATTGAAACCTTTCTGAAAAGGCTCTCCAGAGGAAGCCTCTGCCACCAACACCCGGCTCACTCCCCCAAAGCGGGAGAGCGGTCGCTTGGCACGAGAGGGGTCCACAGACCTCGCGCCCGAGCAAGGCCAGGCTCTCCCGGGGCCCAGAACACCGACCAGGCCGCTGGCATGCCCTCCCGCTCCCCGCCCTCCTCTTCCAGAGGATGTTGATGGCGGCGCAGGGAGCGCTGGGCCCGCAGTCCCGGGTGAGGGGCTCAGGCTGTCACGTCCAGCCAGGCCCGGTCCCCTGCCCTCCGCGGCCCAGACGCTGAACCGCTTGGGCACCGCCAAAGACCGTTGTGTTGGGTTCCCGCACAGCCTCCCCCACCCCCCGCTGCCCACCTCAAAGCTGGCAGGACTCCAGGCTGTGCTGACCCAGCCTCGCCAACTGCTGGAGGGCAGACGCTCTCATTCCCAGGGTCGTGCCCGCCCCCTCGTGGGTGTCCCTGGATGGGTCCCTCCTCCATTCCCTTTCCCCAGCGCGCCTCGACCCTAGTCCCGGCCGCTGACCTGCGGTGGCCACAGCTGCGCACGCGCACCTTAGAAGACGATACGTTCCCACGGCAGAGAGCCTCAAGTGCTGATCCAGTTGCTCCTGACTCAGCCTTTAAGGCCCGAGATTCGGCCCGCCGGCCCCGCCCCCACAACCGGCCTGCGCGAGGATTGGCTGAGCCAGCCTGTGGGCGGGGTCTCCGCGCACGTGACTCTCAGTGCGTGACTAGCTGGGTTCCAGCTAGTTCCGGGCTGGTCGGGCTGCCTCGGTGGACCCGGGGAGGTCAGCGGGGGCGCGGACATCGCCGAGGAGGGTTCCGCACCTCCCTGGGGATTATCCGGTATGCGCGCTGGGTGACGGTTAAGGGAGAGGATTAAGCGAGGCCCCCAGGGGTTTTGCGCATCACCCCGAGTCCTCCAGGCCCTGAGTTTTTTGCTTCAAGGTCCCGGGAGCGCTGAGACCAGCGGGATCTGGTCTAGCGATTTCTGTTCGTCCTCAGGAAAGGCGGGCGGGGAAGTAGTGCAGAGGCCCTGGCAGAGGTGCTCTTGCTGTTTCAGAATGGGGTGCGGTGGGTCGTGGAGGAGTGTGGGTGGAGAGACCTCCCCCCATCTGGGGTCGCGACACGGCCCAAATCCTGGGAAGGAAAGGGGCCGGGCTGGGTGGCGTCAGGGAAGGGGTGGCACCTTGTGATGCTCCTTTCCTGTCTCCCCAGTCAGGGAGTCTTTTTTCCAACCGTCAGAAAAGAGTTATTTACAGGAAAATTTGACGTAATAAAAAGGACAGCAGTTGAGAAGGGTGGAAACTGCTTTTATTTCCCTACTTTGTGCATTATGAATCATACCTTCCTCTGTATCCAAGCCGCTTCTCTTGAGAAATAAGAAATGTACATTAGTAACAATGTCAGGGTTTAGGTTATGTATGCAATTTGAAGAAATGTTCTAGATAAAAAAATATATGTAAAGATTTAAGAAAATTAATTCAGAAGCGTTTTTTTAGCATAATTTTTTATGAAGGTTTCACATGAGAAACATTGTGGTTACTACATTCACCCATACTGTAGTCACTGTCCATCAGTGTAGTAAGATGCCACAGTCAGTACTTGTCTTCAGAAACGTTTCTAAAAGTTTTTTAGAAGTACGTAAGAAAACACCCTTAGTACATTCCCCTATAACTCTTTTCCAGGCATATCTTTATATATATGCCTTTATGTATTTATGTGTTTATGTATTCACACACCGTTATATACATACACACAAATGCACACAAAAATGGAGTCATAGTGCATGTCAGTTTGTAAAGTCTTAGTTAAAATTAATAATCTTCAAAGAAGCACAGACAAAATTTTTTTAAATCAATTTATTAAAAATTTCATTTCATGGCTGAAGTAGAATCCCTTACCTCACAAACACAACTAGGGGCCTGAAGTTCTCATGCAGTTATAAAAGTATATTTGTTATTTGTTGCATATGGCTAGGGTTCTGTTTCACTTGTTTTTTAAAAATAAATCATTGTGAGCAGACTCACAGAACCCAAGAATGGACTAACAGTTACCAAAGGCAAAGGAACTGGGGAGGATGGGTGGGAAGGGAGGGATAAGTGGGGTCTGGGGAGAAAGGAGGCATTATGATTAGCATGTATAATGTAGGGGGGTCACAGGACGGCTGTACAACACAGACAAGTAGTGATTCTACAGCATCTTACTACGCTGATGGACAGTGACTGCAATGGGGTATGTGGGGGGAACTTGGCGATTGGGTGAGTGTAGTAACCATAATGTTCCTCATGTAATTGTAGATTAATGATACCAAAAAAAAAGAATTAAAAAAATTTTTAATAAATAAATAATTGTGGTCAACACCAGCGTCATTCACAGGTGAAGTAACAAAGACCGCCTACAGAAGAACCACTTGCCATACCAAGGGAGACAATTCAAAGATAGACAGGATGAGGAAAAGCTTTGTAAGAAAAAAAGGAAGCTTCTGTTAAGCCACATAGAGGCAAAAGTACATTGGTAGCTGTTCAGCTAGGCACTGTTCTGAGTTGGCTCCACAGAGATTTCTTCTGTGGGGCAGAGTTCTGATGTCACATAAAGTTTGACCATTGTCCTTTTGTTTACTCAGTCTGCCTCAAGAAATCTAAATTATTCTAACACGTGGGTTTTGCACTTGCATTTGGGCCACAGTGCAAGAAGGAAAAACCTGCTACCACATTAGCACCACACCTTAGGCAATAATAGCCTGACAAAAGGCAGTGTGGCAGGTGAATGGCATCCCCTTTGTTTCTTGGAATGTGATACAAGCAGTGGAGGAAAAAAATAGACTCTATAGCAAATTTGCTCAAAACCTACAATTAAATCAAGAAATAAGTAAATTCAGGAGAGAGGAGAAAGCCAGTTAGCAAGAGTGGAAGATATCATTGCTCCGATTCATGACATCGACTTACACATAATCTGTTAAGTAATGCATTTGAGAAATGTGTTACTGCTAACCACTGCGTTCCTCTCTTTCTATTCCTATTTCTTTGCAAAATAACTTAGATGAGTGCTAATTATTAAAACGGTCAGATTTAATAGCTCTGCCTTTGATAAATGCTGTTGGCAGAACTTCCCAATTCCTGTTTAAAATGCAGTCTCTGAAATTGTACTCCTGTGTGCATCTGTCTAGATTTCTCTTGCTCACTAGTAAAACAGGATATATTCATTACCACATCTGGAAGTTTTAAACTGTAGGGGAATGAATAAATCCTGTGTGATGGTGTCAAGACCCTGAGGCCACTGTACACCTCTTCCTAATATAACAGCCTCCTCCAGTTTGTTGAATTCCCTGAACCAAGAGTTACCCTTAGAAAACATTATCCAGACAACTGCCCAATTGTACAGTGATTTATTACCATTTATGATATCATGGAAAAGAGCTTGTTTATGATTAGATGTTCATATGAAGCCACTTATTTTGAAATAACATTTTTCTGAGCTGCTGTAACCTTGCTTTTCCTAATGGGTTAAACAGTCTGCCAATTTGTTAAGTAAATCAGTCACCAAGAATTAAACCCTTACTTTGTGCTCACTATCCTCTCCTGGGTAGTTTGTGCATTTACTTAGACACATTCTACTTTTACCTTTACTAACAGCTTTCTGAAGCTCAGCCTTTCCATTTAAAAGTGAGGTTAACTACAGTAATCTTGATTTTACAGCCTGTGAGCAGAGCCATGACCAATATACTTAAATGAGATCACGGCAAAGCATTGGGTGCAGTAAATAGCAAAGGAGTTAACCTTGTGGGACTTTTTTCTCCACCCTTAAAAGTATAATCCATAAACTCTTTTGGATGCCAGAGGAGATAACCTCATAGAACTTGAAAAACAAACTCTGAAAAAGTCTTTTCATGAAACAAGGTGTAATAGTTTGCTATAGCTGCTTCCCACAAACTTGGTGGCTTAAAACCACCAGAATTTATTCTCTCTCAGTTACGGTGGTCAGAAATCCAAAGTCAGGGTTACTTGGGCTGAAAACCAGGTGACAGGGCTGTGCTCCCTCTGGAGGCCCTGGGGGAGAACCTGCCCCTCTCCTCTCCCAACTGCTGGGGGTTCCAGGCGCTCCTTGTTTGATTTGCGCCTGCATCATTCCAATCATGGCCTCCCTGGCCACATTGCACCCCCTCTTCTGTCCGTGTCAGATTTTCCTCCACCTCTGTCTTGTAACGTGTTTGCTTTTAGGGCCCACCCAGATAATCCAGGGTAGTCTCTCCATCTCATAATCCTTAATTTAATCAACTTTGCAGCATCTTAGCTATAGAAGATCACATTTGTAGATTCCAGGAATTAAAACCTGATATCGTTGGGAGCCATTATTTAACATACTACACATGGCATAGGTAAAAATCAGTTTCTTGACAACACTGATCAGAATTCGGTTGTTTAACATTAACATTATCTTTAGACTGGCTGAAGCGGGACAGTTAGGCCCTGAAATCTATGTGAACTTCCCATCTGTAACTTCTTTGCTCATGTCCCTAACTACAGCCAAGTGTTCCTGCCTTGACTCGCTTGTTACTGCAATGTTTGACACAGTTTTTAAAGTTTCAAGACTCCCACATGGCAGTTTTCATTCCCCCCCACCAACACACACACACTCTGCACAGCCACCTATTCCATGGTCTCTGCACATAAAAGCGTTGCTCACCCCACTCCTTCCCTGAGGCATTTCCAATCTAGGCTTTGAGCATCTTTTATTGCAATTGTCCCTATTAACAAAGTCTTCCCTTACTAATGTAGGTTCTTACATTTTTCCCCCTGACGCCCCGTGTCATGATGATAAATGGTCAAGATGTTTGTGCTGTTAAGAGAGTCAGTCAGCTTGCATACATATATGTATGTGGGACAGGGGGTTGTTCCAAGGAAAAGTATCCCCATCTGTGAGTACTCGGTGCTCCTGGCGATTAAATCATTATTAGAAAGGATTCCTGTGATGATGGCGATGGTGATCGTGGTGTTAATGATGGCGATGACACTAACAGCTAAATAACACGTTGGTGTCCTGAGCACACCACATACTCCTCACTCACTCCCCACAACACCCCTGTGACCGTGGTTCTCACCCTTGAGCATCAGAATCACCTGCAGGGCTTGAGAAAACAGACTGCTAACCTCTGTCCTCTTCATTTCTGATTCAGTGAGTCTGGGATGGGCTTCCTGAATTTGCTTTTCTAACAAGTTCCCTACTGTTGCTGATGCTCTAGGACACCCACTTTGAGAGCCAGTGCCCCAGGAGATGAGTGCTACTGTATGCCGTAACAGATGAGGCTGTGCCTGGCAGTGGGTATACAGAATCAGGTGCTGCCAGGTTCCTCTGTAAAGTGAAGCATAACAAATGTGGGTGGGGCAGGACAGCAGTGCTTAGAAAGGAAGCCAGTCTCTGGGAACTTGGTCCTCATCCCTCCCCAGCCACCATCACTTACTTGGCAAACTGGACTCTGGGTGCCAGAGGGACCAGGAGAAGTGAAATGTGGGCCCTGAGGCCACTGTGAGATAAAGCACAGACTCTCCGCAGGGCCAGGCTCCCCACTTCAATGCTGGTTCACCTGGTGTCTTGCTGAAAGAAGATGTGAGCCACAGGGAAGGTGTGCTGCCTGCCCCAGGCAGGG